AGGGAGGGAGGGAGGGAGGAAGGGAGGTAGGGAGAGAGGGAGGGAGGGGGGAGGAGGAAGGAAGGGAGGGTAGGAGAGAGGGAGGAAGGGAGGAAGGGAGGGAGGGAGGAAGACCATCTTAAGGGGCTGGAGTTCTGTTAAGCCTGTCCATCCCGAAGGACATGGCACGCTGTCAGCTCTGAGGCACCCTGTCCCTCAGCTCCTGTCTGTCTGAGACGGACAGACAAGGAGGTCCATGCCAAATGGCCCTCCCCAGGAGTCCACGCGGCCCCTGCTCCAGACCCTCCTCTCACGGCCCTGATCCCCAGCATCCAGGTCACAGGACTTCTCTTAGAGAGAGTGCCTTGGAGAGCCTCAGGCAGAAGAGACCAGAGATGCCCACTGAGCCCTGGGCAGGAGGGCAGGAGGGCAGGAGGGGAGGAGGGAGGAGGAGAGGAGGGAGAAGGGAGAAGGGGAAGAGGGGAGGAGGGAGGAGGGGAAGAGGGGAGAAGAACAGGAGGGGAGGAGGAGAGGAGGGAGAAGGGAGAAGGGGAAGAGGGGAGGAGAGCAGGAGGGGAGGGGGGAGGAGGGAGGAGGGGAAGAGGAGAGCAGGAGGGGAAGAAGGAGGAGGGAGAAGGGAAGAGGGTAGGAGAGCAGGAGGGGAGGAAGGGAGAGGGAGGAGAGAGGAGGGAGGAGGGTGGGAGAGAGGAGGGAGGAGTGGAGGAGGGCAGGAGGGAAAGAGTGAGGAGGGAGGAGGGCAGGAGGGAGGAGGGAAAAGGGGAGGAGGAAAGGAGGGAGGAGGGCAGAAAGGAGGAGGGAAAGGGGGCAGAGGGAGGAGGGCAGGAGGGAGGAGGGAAAGAGTGAGGAGGGAGGAGGGCAGGATGGAGGAGGGAAGGAGGGAGTGGCAACCCCACATAGCGCCAGGGCCCCTGTAGCAGAGCAGGCCTGTCCAATGGGACTTGGGGCTGCAGGGGACATTTGTCATGCCCATGGGCCTGGGCTTTGCCCTGTCCATCATAGGTCACCCAGCACCAGGCCAGGACAAGGCCACTGTCGCCTGGTGGGAGAGACAATGTGGGGCACCATCAAGTGTGAGAGCCATGGAGGAGGTGGTCGACCAGACCTAGACTGGAACCCGGTCCTGGCCGGGAGCAGGGAGCCTGCAGCGCATCCTCTCTGTGTCGGACACCCTGGTGTGGTCCCTCCTGGACAGGACCCTGAGATGTCTGGTCATAGGTGACCTGTGTCCTGACAGCCCAGAGCCACGTAGCCCCTGAGCCCCCCAGTGCCCCATGCCAGGCTTCTGCCCTCTGCCCGGGCACCAGGCATGCCAGGCACACTGATGGCACCCCTGTTGGAGCTGCTGGCGGTCCCAGGGCAATGCAGGCCACACTGCCTGAGTCAGATAACACTCTGTGTGACATACAGTTGTCTCTACTATGGAGGACAGTGGACACTTGCAGAGATACAGGCAGGTGCTGGAGGACAGGGGCAGGTGGCGTGGGCTGGGAGGCAGCACAGGGGAGGGAACCGCGGGTGAAATCTGGCCTGGGGGCCTGACTGGGTCAGGGAGGTGGGGAGGAGGGTCCTGCAGTGGAGGTGAGGAGGGGGG